TCCAATGAGGGAAAATAAAGTGATTGGATTTTTATTTTCAAAGCCTTTTTTCAATTAAAAAGTTTCATTTCTGGATTGATTTAAATTTTGACGGATTAAAAAAAGTCTTGAAACAATAATGGAACAAAATTCTCTCCATAAGGCTGTTTGACAAACAGCTGAAGCTCGGCTTCAACTCTACAAACAAAAAGGCAACATACGGTAAAACAAACAAAAACAAACAGCGCTGCACTGGATCCGTCATTATCAAGTGCTGCATCTAATTGAAGAGCTGTGGTGGAAAGACAAGAATGAGCAGAAACCTCGGGGGCTACAGTAACACTGCAGAGGGGAGGGGGCCTGAATCATTCCATGAAGATGTGAGGGACTGATAATGTCAAACAAACCATCATTTCTTCAAGCTAGAGCTCCATTTTCTGTAAGCATGAAACCCTGGGATGTATTCGGTTTAGGGCTCCTGCCTTATTTTTTCCTTCTTTAAAAGAAAGTCACCATGTTTGATGTCATATTTTTGCTGTTTAGGGCAACGAACCTCATTCTACCACGCAGCGATGTTTCTCTGAAGCTGTAGGGCTGTAAATCTACCTTTGACTAGAGAAAATTGGAGGTCTTTATGCCCTAAGCTGGATAAAACAACTTCTCTTTGATTGATAACGACTTGGAAAGCTTTTGTTCTCCATCACAGCATCTATTTGGGATCCATCTGGAAGAGAAAAGCTGAATCCATTTGCAGTGTTTATAAGAGGTTGCTGTTTGTTTTCTGTTATCCTCAGAAAGCTGAGCCCTTTATTGGTGGGCAGCGCAGACCGAGCATCTGTAGTCAATATCTAACTAAAGCATCAAACTGATTTCTATAAAAGTATAGGAACCTTTTTTTGCTTCAAAGTATTTCAAACAACTCTGACTCACTGGGTTTTTTTAAGCTGCAGAAACATTAACGTAGTTCTTTAGGAACTTGAAATGCAGCCTCAGAAGCTTTGATATTTTACAGCTAATTTTTCCCCTTTTTTAAGGGGATGTTTAAGCAGTGAGAGAATAATTTATATTAACACCCATGTTGACCACAATTAAAAAAAACAACCTGATTTTATGAACAATAACGCTAAACTGGCCGATATCAGCACACATGACGTACGGCTCTGTGCGATGGAAGTGATGTAAGGGCATTCATATCGGGAGAGAACAAAGATGACTCATTTTCACTGCAGTTCTCATGTAATCTAAGAAGTGATGCTAATTGAAAAATTCGCAGCATCTCGCTGGAGAACGAGGGCCTCATGATATCAGCACATCTGAGTTTAGCTCATAACTACAACGACCTAATTGGAGTTAAGTCACGAACCCACCTCCCGCGAGCCGCTGGCCGCAAGACGCTGCGAGTGGATGGATGAGCGGCTTTACAGGGGCCTCCAGGCTTTGGCCCGCTTCCTAAAGCCCATGAGAGAGGACCACCGCTCCCCCCCCCGCCCTTCTAATGGAAAAGGGAGGCCACAGAGAAGGGCCTAAGTGAAAACAACTGGAGCTCAGTGCCGCATGACTCCTGTTTTTCCACATTTCGCTCGCCTCGGACCGTTCCAGGACGGCAGAACCGGAGCTCAGCATAAGCAGACTCCTCTGTGCTGAAGTACGACTCTGAGGCAGTATGCATGCACAGCCAGAAAAGCACACTTTGTGTACAGCCATCAGTGTAAACTGAGGCACGTGCACAACCGTCACGTGTGTATATAGAATTACATGCGACCCACACAGCAGAGCTAATGATAAGCAGATGTAAAGGGCGTTCTGGGTTTATCAAATCCTTAAGCTTGGATCTAACCTATGGCTCCTTGCCTTCAGTTTGCCTGATTCAAGCTTTTTTTTACACCTGATAATCCATGTTACTAACCTTTATAATCAAGCACAAACAGCTCCTTCTTCGTGATCTTCTGGAGCCTCATAAATGGAAAGATTGTTTCCACATCAATGTTAGGGCACTTGTCGGGGTCCAGGCACTATACAGACAAAAGCAGTGGATGAAAAACCATTAACACACTTTGAAATTTATAATATTCTTTCTCAATAACAAAGAAAATAGACTGATGGACCTCAAGAAGACGACAAAACGGATTGAAATTACTGCTCAGAAGATTAGTTTTTTTGGAATGCACCAAGGGTGAAATTTGCAGGGGGGTTAGGGGAGATTGTCACCTCTGGAAATTTTGTTTCAGTCATTTTAACAGATCAATAATATAACATTATCATTAATTTATAGAAGTATCTTTATGAATGCTGTTTATTTTATTCTATTTTTCCCATTTACTGGAAAATTAGTGGCTTATATTGTATTTGGTAATGTAATTACTGCCTTCCTGGTTCAACCCGATCTGTTTACTTTAGTGAGTGGTCAAAATCTCAGAACATGAAAAGATCCCTAAAAAGCAGGAAAAACTACAATATATATATATATTTTTTTTTTACATACCACTCCAAATCTCATATAAGATATTTAAAAGTACAAAAAAGGCATTATACAATGACGTTCCCTGTTTATCTTAAAAGAAATTAGATTTTCTACTGTTTTTATATAATAACTGCTTGCTTTACTCAGCCTGACTATGAGTCAATAAAAGGAAAAAGATAAAAAAAAAAAGGATCCAAACATAAATATTTGCAAATCACAACAGTATTGGATCTAAAGTTACAGCACTGATATGCACCAAAAAAACATATATTTAAAGATTTAGTTTGATCCTCTGATTGGCATCCAGTTATTTTAGAAACTAAGAAGATCTTCTTGCAGTTTTTCAATGCCTCATATACTAGTGCTGCCAGGCTGTGTAAACAACACTCTAGAACCTGATACCGAGGAGAGAAGACTTGTTTCTAGCGTGTTTATTATCAGACCAATGCACAAATTTAATTAAAATAAGGAAGTTCTTAATACATAAAATCTGGATGTATCTTTCACTACCCGATCCGTCCTGGAAGCACGATCCATCCTGCGCATCCGCGAACAGATATACATCTTGGGTGTCCATAAATAATGTAATTATGGTACTAAAATTACTTATTTATATCCTTAACTCACTGAAGTTTGCTAATACACATCTTTAAAAAATGTTTTATGACTTTTGTGAGACGACTTTGATGCTTTTTGACATTTTCTTTGTTAAACTGCTTCTCTGAAATCATCGGTCATGCTCAGAGCAGTCCGG